ACATCTGACCTAAATGAAAAGGCGATCCACGGGATTTTGAAGCATTTAATGGCTGCTCAGGAGGCCATGCAATCATTTGGATCAGGTGTGCTTGAGTGGAGAGAGACATGTCTAAAACATGGACAATGGGAGCTGAAGATCAGGCTAAAGAAACTCTGTCCTAACGCACACAGGGTATGCTAAGTAAGCCAGGTTTCATCGAACCAGCTGACATGATGAACACTGTATTTTTTTTTCATGGCTCTAATTTGGGATTGGTAATTTATCCTCATGTGCTGTCACTGCTCTAGGGAAATCATTCAGGCATTCAGTCAACTAGTAGTTAAATGTTTAAAGTATCTACCTCTCTTTTGCTAAACAGCCAGACGGCCAATTGCCTCCTTGATCACATGAGATGACAGCCTCTCCGTTCTGCAAAATTGATCAGATTGATTGATTTTGTTGTTTATCTCTAAAACTTTCAATCAAACGGTCAAGGACAAAGACAGAAAAGGTACGGTGGGACACCCTTATGCTGTGTTACTTCCAGCAGATGAGGACCGGACTCTCCAGTGCGCCCTGTGCCCAAGAGGGGCGGGTTTGGGTGGCAGAGCGCAGGGACAGAGAGCGCAGAAGGAGTGAGGAAGAGGAGGAGGAGGGGAGGGCAGGACTGGCAGGGTGCGGTCTGAAGTGGCAACAGATCACCGTGAATCGCCCAATTCCCTTCAAATCAACTGGAAAGCTACAGATTGTCGCATCTGGGGAAGTCCAGAGGAGGGCAACGAGTGAAACGAGCGCGCAAGGGGCTTGTGCGCAAGAGAGAGGGGGGCAGAGAAACCACAACACTGCAACTTGGATGTCAGCGGCCGCACTCTCTCTCTTTGACTCTCACACCCACCAAATCGACTTTGAACCTGTTTGTTTAAATACACGGACTTTACAGCCACTTATTGCTGACTCCAGTCAGGCGGTTCAGAGCGGAGTTCCTCTCATCTGTAGGCATAAAAAAAAGCTTTTTTGGTATTCCAATGGTGCCTCATGAAGACACGGGGTTGACCTTATTTCATCCAATATTTACGGGTGCGTCGATTTATTTTTCACGGTAAAATGGGAACTAAACTGGAGAGGCACTGAAGACATCTCTCTCTCTCTCCCCCCGGGAGAGTCCTCCCACCTTTCCCCGGGGCGATGCGGATCTCCTTCCTCCTTCTCGCAGCCTCTCTGTGCGCCTCTGTCCTCCTCCTCGCACCTGTCTCGGAGGGCTGCGGGCCGGGGAGAGGATACGGCAAGAGGCGGCTCCCCAAGAAGCTCATCCCGCTCGCCTACAAGCAATTCAGCCCGAACGTTGCCGAGAAGACTTTGGGAGCAAGCGGGCGACCCGAGGGAAAAATTACCCGCAACTCCGAGCGCTTCAAGGAGCTCACCCCGAACTATAACACTGATATAATCTTTAAAGATGAAGAGGACACCGGTGCAGACAGACTCATGACTCAGGTAAAGCGGAGGATATGCGTAAAAGGGCCTTATCATGCGTAAAGTGATAAGCATGTCATTTTCTAGATCATATTGTTTATCTGGGGGATCAAATTACACTGAGCTGAATGAACCAGATTAACCACAGTGCTGGTCTCAATTGTCATCTGAATGTTTGCTGTCAGTTAAATGTTTAAACCAAAGTGATTGATTCCATTAACCCTTCCTTTCACCTCTGGAATCTGCTACCTTACATACTTAACTGCTGAGGCTTCCTTGAAGTGTTGCCTTCATTGACCCCAATCTGGCAATAATTTTCCATTTGACTGAGCCTAAGTGAACCATTAGGAAGCATTCCTATCTCAGTTCTAGTTATGCGTATTTTGCCTATTGCATATCTAGTTCTGTCCAGGTTTTATTCCTTCAGCTTCTGCTGTGGTTATTTTACGCAATAAATGACCACATATATTTGCAAATCATTAAAATGCATGTCCACTCCTTGACTTTCAGCCTGGTTTGTGTTTTCAAAAAGAATAAATCTCAAGCAAACACCACGATCACAGTTGTGTGTACTTTGACCATTCACCTGACACAGTTGGGACTTGGAGCAATTATTTAGAGCCCAATGTTGACATGCTGTTATTAAACCCTCAACTTTTTGGTTTCTAAGCAGAACCCCTTTCTTTTGGTTGATTTTTCAGCTTTTTTCATATTATTTGAAAATTATATTTTATATGGACTGACTTGTATTGCTTAATAGTAGACAAACTAAACTTATTGCCTATTTTTTCGCAAAACAAATGCTTTGACTTTTTATGTATAATCTCTCTTTTCTGGACCAAGACATTCAAAGAGATGATACTTCTGTTAACACAATGTTAAGCACAGAACCTGTGCATCTTGTTTGGTTTGTTTTTGAATTTGTCAAATGGATCTGTTTTCATAATTTGCAACTATTTTTTGGCGTTTTCCGACTCATGCTGAGCAAGGCTGTGCTAGAGAGTTTCAGAAATTCATTTTTGCCCCACTGTCCCTTCGTGCTTGGTCTTAATGAGGGATAGCTGCAAACTCAATGACTCCGTGCAGTAGATAACATGTTATCAGTTGTCACTTTAAACTAAACTTGTAATATTGCTCCTGCCAAATCTGTTTCTCCTTCAGGCTTGGTCCTGTGAAAGAGAATTGTTCTGTTCTGACGTTTTCAGCAAAATAACTGAAAGAAAAAAAATATGAATCCATAGAGAGAAAACTGGCAATAAAAACACCATTACACTTCAGCTTAAAGTCTGAGAATTTCCAAAACCAGAAACTGTTTAACATTGCCAGAGATGGACTCAAAACCAAAACCAGGGATGTAAGACCATACTTAGCTGTGTACACTATAAGCACCACCCTATTTTTTCAATTGACATTTACTCAGAGCAATGTTTTTTTAATTAATGTCTTAGATAAGATTAATTTTACCAGCTTGTAAGTGAATTTTACTACCATTTTATCTATCATTTCATAGTTTAATTTCTCTTTTATTTTCAGTATATTTACTGGTTCTACATTATTTCAACTTTCTTTACAAGCCCTTTGATCAAAAGTAAACTTTCATTTATTAATTAAATTCCACTGCTCTGTTTTATACTTATAATCAAATATTAATGAATCTACCTCAGTGGTTCTCAACTCTGGTTCTTCTGTCCTTCATCTTTTATATGTAGTTTTACTGCCACACTCCTGACTTGCATAAATGAGTGATTAACAAACATTTGCAGAACTTGATGTCAGTAGAAGAGGTTGTGAAATTATTTAAATCAGGTGTGCTTTAACAGAGACACAGAACATGCAGGATAGGGGCACCTCATTGAATCTAAACTTTTCTCTATAACTAGATTGTTTTGGACACATTTGTATAATTTTACAAGTATATCATTTTGGTTGATATATGTCTGGCTAATTTGTTAAAGCAACACAACATAACTTTTGACCCAAGTGTTGGATTATGTTTGGATCTATTAAATTACTTTGTTAGGTCGTTATGCAGCATTTTGTGCATAGCAATGTGCCACGTATTGGCCATTGGGGTCTCCTTAAATACTAGAGCTAACTAAGCTAAAAGTAGTTGGCAGTAGAATAGATATGACACCTTATTAGACATACTTTTGGTTGTCTGATGAAGGATTCACTCTAGAGGGGTGAATATTGGTTTGTCTGAACAAGTAAATACATCACTTCTCATTTTGCTGTTTGTCTATCAGATTCCAAATCACAGAGGGAGGCTATTTCATTTTGCGACAGTGCAGCATCACATTCAGGGGGACTAAACTTTGCCGTTAAAGCCTAGCACCTCCAGTGACTAAAAGTTGAAAAGTGTTGCATTAACGTTCTTAGAAATGCTGGTTATTGTTATTTGTGCTATGTGAAAGCAGTGAACCAAATTGCAGATAAACCAGCTTATTTACTGATTTTATATCTTCCTTTTTCTTTGTCTCACCCAGCGGTGTAAAGACAAGCTAAACTCTTTGGCCATCTCTGTGATGAACATGTGGCCAGGTGTGAAGCTCAGAGTAACAGAGGGATGGGATGAGGACGGCCATCACTCAACAGACTCTCTACACTATGAGGGGCGTGCTGTGGATATCACCACCTCAGATAGGTAAGAGCACCTAAAATTATACACTGTGTGATTCTAAATTAGTAGTGATCTATTAACCATCTCAATATACTAAGGACTTTTCAATTAGCAAACCTTCTTACCCTTTCCATCAAATCTGAATGCTTAACTGGACATCTCAATTCCTTTCTTGACATTTATTTGTTGTTGTATTTTTATTCGGTTTCAGTAATCCATTGTTTTCCTGACAGGGACAGAAATAAGTACGCCATGTTGGCCCGCTTGGCTGTAGAGGCAGGATTTGACTGGGTCTATTACGAGTCCAAAGCCCACATTCACTGTAGCGTCAAGTCAGGTAAGACCAGTTTAAGAAGTCTTTATATTTGAATATGTCTTCCTCTGTTGTGATCACAGCTAAAGCTAGATACCTTGTGGGGTGACTGTCTTCTTATGTAGTATCCCTTTGAGCCCCTGTGTTATCACTTTGTGAGGGTGTTTGTGTGTGTAGGCCTACTGGGAACCAATCAAACATAATGTGCACCTGTGGTCTTTTTTTTATGCACCCTGATTTTATCTTCAGGTCTCATCATAGATTTAGTTTGTCAGATTATATGGAGCACCTATCCTAAATGCAAATCCTTCCTTATTGTATGGCTCAAGTATTCACACAGTGTGTGGCAAAATATTTCTGCCCTTTAACCTTAACACTAGAAGTCTATATGATGTATATATATTTATTTTCATGAACATTTGCTCTGAAGCATTTGCTCTGAAACACCTTAATTCCTGTGCAAAAATGCTTCAAAGTCACTTCATCACCGTTCACACCATGAAAGAATTAGAGGAAATATAGGAAAAGGTTCCTTAGTTACATGAGCCTATATACATTTTTTTTTTTGCCTGTATGGAAGATCTGTCTAATGCCAGTTTCTCAAAATGTTGGTAGTATCAGGATGTGCGAGTTCTTTTTTTCCATGGGGTCTTTAGAACTAGCTAGAATTGAAGGTAGAGTGTATAGAGTTACGTCCAGGGCAACTTCAAGGTAGAAAATATGTTAGATGCTGCAGACTTGAGACTGGATAAATGCATCACCTTCACCTGATGACGTCAAGCTGATATCAAGTCCTGAAATTCTACTATCCTGCAACATTTAGGTGGATCCCTTTTCCACACACATTAATTAAATGAATAGTTTGTAGGCCTCTGCAAAGCTAAATGGTATGCTGAAGAGGGAATTTAGCCATATTATTCAGGTGTGCTGAAGAATGGATATATCCAAAAGATGCAGAATAACTGTCGCTGAGAACTGAATAACACTGTCAAGGACCAGAGCTAAATTCAATTTAAGTTCCAAGATCTCAACTTCTGTGTTTTCAATTCACTCTGACTGAACTTTAGCTGTTTTACAAGAAAAAGTGTAGAGGAAGGACCTAATTTAAACAAAAAGAACTCAAACAACTTCCATTTGTAAAAGCAGTGAAAGGTTTTCATCACTAGGACCTAATAATACAAACTCACAGCACACCGTTAAGATCTTTCTATGTAAAAAATAAAGTATAAACTTCCTTTTTCTTCACCGGTGATTTTTGTTAGTATGTGAGATACAGTCCTGAAAAAGGAATTTTAAAGATAGTGGTTGTCACGAGACAACAAAACTGAAAAGGTCAAGGGGCATCAATATTTTTGCAAATAATAATAATATTAATAATAATACATTTTATTTAAAAAGGCGCCTTTCTGGACACTCAAGTTCACCGTACAAAAGCATAAGAGCAAAAGCAAAAGTACAAAAGAATATATGTGCATCTTGTGCCAATTTGAAGTAAAATCTAGATTCCCAGATAGTGTTTTTGTTACAGTTTATTTACTTTTGCCATACAATTTACAAATCTCATCATGGATGATTTAAGAGTTTATGTCTTTCTACAAACAATGAGTGTCAGCATTCCACTTCCTCTTAATCAAACTTTTGAGACATTTTAGAAACCCATATACTGACGTCTGGTACCACCAGTTATTTAGTGCCAATCCACACTCTAGCAGTCCACCTAGGTTAGTAGGCTGTGAGATGATTAACTCTCTCTTTGTTTTTGCCGTTGCTTTGCCTCCAGTGAGTTTCTTTCAGATCTCTTATCTGAATCTTATCACAGTCCTCCTTTTTGTGCAGCTTTCAAGCTTACAGACCCACACACACACCTTGGACAAATATTTGGCTGACTTAGGACAGCCTTAAGACAAGCCTCCCAAACACACATACAGACCCCCCCACACACCCACACACACACACACACACGTATACACACACACACACACGTATACACGCACACAGAAACACACATATCAAGTCTTTGTATTCCAAAAGGAGCAGTGGGTCCTCTTAGAAATTGGCCTGACACTGTTAGAGCACACATAGAGGCACAATATTGTATACACATTTATACTGATTTCTTATTTCAATCTGATTCAACAGTATTTTTTAAGCTAATGAGAAGCAAGATTTATGATTTCATTTGGTTTAAATCTCTGCAATCCAAACAGTATCTAAAACCACGTCTGAGTCTGTGTACCTTCCTGCCTCCCTGACCTCGGTCTGTGCTCTGACTGCAGTGATACAATCAGCTGGTTATCCATTAGCTCTTGCCGACTGCGCTTTCTTGCCACCTCATCTCACTGCATCTTAAAGGGAACATTAATCCAGGCAGAGTTAACAAGGGTATATCGTGCAGGCCGTGACGATTATGGCCAAACAGAATCCAAACAAATAGCAAAATAACTGTATTTATTTACTAATATAACTGGCATAGACATGATGCTAAAATTTTTAACTTGATATCTATACCCAGGAAATAATTTGATGCTTGGTAATTATTAGACAGGAAAAATAAAAATAATTTAAGGCATAAAAAAATCTTTTATAAAACAGAAGGAAACACATTTTAAAATCTCAACATGGAACTTGCCTTCTCAGAAGAATCACAGATGCTGGTTAAATGGGTATGCAAATAAAGACAAATACAATGAAAATGTCAATATTTCAAAGGGTATATTAGTTTAATGTACATATAAAATCAAACAAATCTAGAATTCACAATTTGTAATGCTAGATTATTATTCCATATGGATGCAACATCTTAGTATCAGTACTCTTTGGAGTATCTCTACTTTTGAAAACCCTAAATACAACTGAAAGCAGCTAATTATATAATTAGCAATAACATAAAAAGTTGCTTTTTTTTCGTTTCATCATTATTGCATATTCTGGCTCAGTGAGTTAGTATTAACAGAATTGTTTCAAATCTTCTGAGTCCCAAAATTAACAACAAATAACTTAAGATGACGTTTTATTCCCTATTTAGTTATACATTTTTTCTATATTAACTAATTTTCCATTCTGAAAAAATGGGAGAAGCGTGCAAACTGGAGAACACCTCACCATTTAAGAAGTATGGAGGTGGAAAAATGGCCTGTGACAGCAAAAGACGTGAATGAGTAAAGACTGTAATTTAATTGAATTGAATTCAGTTTATTTATATAGCGCCAATTCACAACACATATGATCTCAAGGCACTTTATAGAGACAATTCAACCAGATCATTCAGTCAGATTGGTTCATAATTTTCTATCTAAGGAAAACCAGTTGATTGCATCGACTCACTGACTCGAAAGAAATCCCTCACACCAAGCATGCATGTAGTGACAGTGGAGAGGAAAACTCCTTTTAAACAGGAATAAATCTCCAGCAGAATCAGGCTCAGTGTGAGCGGCCATCTGCCAAGGCTGACTGGGATTCAAGGAGACAGAAGCAGAGATACAGAAAAAAGCAGATATACAAAAGGTAACTATCAACCAGCTCCACAGACAGGCCCTGTCCAGGAAACACACAGCCAGGCAGACAAGCTCTGAGCCAGCTCCTATTTCAGAGGATGAAAGAGAGCGCGTACAGTTAGTCACAGTCAGAGAAAACAGGCTAAGTATCAACAACTATAAACAAAGTCGTTGATGGCAGCAGCATAGCTGACATTTTCCTGTGAGATGGTGTCACAGCCAAACAGGAACAGACCAGATGAAGCTACTTTACTGAATATGTAAATATTGAAAATAGTCAAAGCTTGGGCTAAACGTAAGACGTTCAATGGACAATGACCCTAATCATAGTAATAAATGTGTTTTAAAGTGGCCTAATGATAACAGAGTTAGTGTTTTGGAGTGGTCGTCACAGCAATGATCCTAAGCCAATGATTACATGAGTTGGCAGATGAGTAAAGGTTTTACGGCCAGTAGAATGAAGGGGTCACTCTAGTGACTGGAAGTTTGAGGGGATTTTGCTGGGAGTTGCAGGGAAGTGAGCTGCCAGCATTTGACTGGGAAGGGCCATTTTGATGGCTACTACACTATGAGCAAAGCCAAAAAACAAATTGTAGTCAGCTTTTGAAAAATTCTACTAAAAAATTTCATGATTCTCAGGTGTGTTGATTTTGATTTCTAATGGTTACGTTTTTAGTTTTTGTTTTTTTTTAGCATTTCAGCCTCAGCTGCTCTACATTCCTTTGATTCTATTCACCTGGTTTTCATGTTACTTATTTCATCCCCTGCTGTACGCAGTACAAGTTCCTGTCTTCTGTTTCCTCTTCTTTGGAGCCTCCTGTTAATAGTTGCCTGCTCCATGTGTTTCCTTGAGTATCGATTGATCTTGAGTATTGATTATCTCCTGATAATATGTCAGCACTACTCTTGGTAATTTGGGTCCACAACAACCTCAATTTCTTCCAATAATATGCAATGTTTTGAATCTAAAGAAGGTTTTAAAAAGGCCTATTGCTATTTTTCTATCATTTAGCTTATATAAATAAATTTGTAGCACCAAAATACATAAAATAGGAAGAGTATATTATTATTTAAGGCCAGGAAGAGAAGAAAAAGAAATAACAGTAGTTGAAAACAGATATCCTCTCAGGGTAATAAATAAAAAAAATGCAGATTTAGTTCAATCATACACATATATTTGAATTCAAGTTTGATTCTGGTTCAGAAACAATTTAGGCACGTTTAGTTTTTCCTGGTGGTGTAAAAAGTTTTATCAATCTTAGAAAATGTATATAATTGTATTGGCCTCTGATACATAGTGACAGTTGTCGTTGAACAAGCAAGTAACAGTGAAATAAACTGAGTCATTTTACATTGCTGCAATACCTCATACTGAGCAAGCATGTAGCTACAGAGGAAATGAAAGTTTAAAAATGTCGAAGCTTCCATTGAGTTTAAAACTACTGTCCTTAATAGGAAGAAAAATCATGTTTCTTTTTAGTTGTATTTCACATTTATTGAAAGAATAAGCATGGAAATGTATCAGGAATCATATCCGAAGCCAAAGTGTCTTGGTCTGCCTTTCATTAATGCTTTGCAGGAAAAGCAAGCCTAATAAATGAATTAATACAGAAATGCAATTAAAAGTTAAGGTGATCAACTGCATAAAGGTTGTCAAGAATTAAGGAAAAAATATAATTATTAAGAATGCAGTTTAGTGATTTTAGTCATACTTCTGAGGTGATTAAAGATCACGGTAGAAATAAGGAGAGAAAAAAATGTTTTAATGTGACTAATGACAGATAATCTGTATATCTGGATTAACGTCTGAAGAATCTTCACGAAATTGCCTGTTGGGTCCGATTAGAGTTTCAGCAAATAGCTTCTCATAGGACTGCCTCTACCTCTACGGATATGTGGCTCTCTTTTTTACTGTCTATTTGAGTAAGAAGCACATCTGGACAGCCCTGCCTTGGCTTGCCCATGGCAGACCAGTGGTGGTGGTGGTGGTGGCGGTTTATATTTTGCTCCAGGTTTGGAGTTCCTTCACTTTAAATTTGAAACTGTGTAATTAAGCAGACAGGGTTTGACGAAAGATACAGATTACTTTACATACTATACATCTGCAATGGGAAAAGAAATTCTGAGAAATAAAATAACAAAAAATGTAGCATACAAAAAAGAAGAAAAAAAAGAAAACTTCCAAAGATCTAAACACTGACAAATTTGTGTTGATTGGGTTGATTTTGTTAGACTGATGTTCTTTTTTATTTATTTATTTATTTTTTTTACTTCACATTCACAGAAAACACATTTTCTCATAGCCACATGTTTAGCCAAACAATTAGTGATTTTGGTTTAACATTTTGGCTTTGTCAAAGTATCCAGTTAATAGACTAAAAAAAGAAAAAAAAAAGCCTAAAATTAGCTAACAAGAGTTCTTCCTTTGTACCAATAAAACATTTCCACTGATATGATTTTCTGCAACGTTTCATTTTTAACTATAACACTGCCTTTCAAGAACAAGCATTTGAAGAACAATAGCAGTTTCAGGATCAGCCTTTAAACTTGATACATAATAATCCTTATGCCTTTTTTTTATTCACTGCTCTCTTATCAAGACAGTGTGGTCTCAGTCCTTTTAAACAGTATGATACAATAATACTTAGATTGTTACAAAAATGTGACTGTTTACATGTACACTATATCTAAAAATAAATCTGCTTTGTTTCTTCTAGATTAATGATTTATCAAAATGATATAATCCTTTGTGCCATTTGGAGATAGATGAAGAGATTTTCCTTGAACATTTATTCAAAAGCACAAAATGTTTAATAGAACAGTTGAGAGATTGGATTGTTTCCATTTTTACAGGCTTTGTTATCATGAATAAACCATGTTCATTTTGAAATTCATTTTAGATTAGAGTATTTGTGTTAATTTTTCACTTTTTTCAAATTTTAAAGAAAATTTAATTAGTTCCAGATGGGTACTATTTTTTATTTAATTTTTTTTTTTTTAGATATACCAAATAGGTAAGATTGGGAGCAATACTCATAAAAAAGATGCGTTTTAACAAGGACATGTGTCTCTGAACTTTGTTTATGGTCATGCACTTGACTTCAAGTCACACTGAGAGAGCCCAAAGGCAGACAAAGAACAAATAGTTTCACCCTGAGTCATATTGCATAGCAATGTTAACAATCCTCCAAATGATCCAGCCAAGATAACGTTGTTCTCGAGTATGTGTCAAAGTCTCACCTGCTTTATGGATCACTCAGTGACATGAAATAACATTCAGGTGTAGCGAACAAAGTTCGAGCTTTGGAGTGAAACTGTTTGAGTTCAACTGAAATTATTTCTATTACCCATATTTTATCTCACTCCTTTCAACATCAAACTAAACCATGCAATAATGACCACAATGTCAGATTTATATGAAATAAAAAGACTGATTTGTTTTTTTTTTGTTTTTTTCTCACCCTCAGAGCACTCCGTTGCAGCTAAAACAGGGGGTTGTTTCCCTGGCGATGCTCAGGTCATCACTGAGGGCGGACACATAAAACACATGCGTGACCTTATCCCTGGAGACCGTGTCCTGGCATCCTCTTCAACAGACGTCAAAGCTGCGCTCCTCTACAGCCCCATTGTGTCCTTTTTGGATCGCCAGCCCAATGCAACAAGGACCTTCTATGTTATCGGAACAGACGGGGGACATAACATTACTCTCACAGCTGCTCACCTGATTTTTGTCGCAGACTGTGCCCACAGATCCAACAGGTCAGGGCGAGGAGAAACGTCTGAAGAAGCCATGAGTTTTGCTTCCTTTGGGCAGAGGAGGGAAGCTGAAGCAGGTATGAGGACCATTTTTGCCAGTGAAGTCCAGCCTGGACAGTGTGTGTTTTCATCTTCTGGCAGATCAAATTCACGTCCAAAACTCTCGGTGGTGACCTTTGTCGAGGAGCTGACAAGCACTGGGTTATATGCTCCTCTTACTCAGCATGGCTCTATAGTGGTGAATGGCGTGTTAGCATCTTGCTACGCTGCTGTGGACAGTCATTATTTGTCCCACTGGGTCTTGGCTCCATTGAGACTTGTTTACTGGATGATAGGACCTTCACAAGTGCAAAATGATGGGGTGCACTGGTACCCCTTGATTCTGCAGTGGCTGGGAAAGGTGCTACTGGGCACTGAAAACTTCCACCCCTTGGGCTTCTGACCAGTGACAATTAAGCGAGGAAGAAGGAGACATTTCAGGATGATCTTCAAGCAGGGGCACAATGAAGAAAAGCACAACTGTATTTATATGAAAACTGATTTAAAGCATACACATATTTTTTACTCACTCCAAATGCCTGAATTTGTTGTACTTTTACAAATCTAGATCTGTCATTGTTTTAGACATTAAGAGAGGAATGATTTCCATTGCATTGATAGCAGAAGACTGACAACAAAAGCTCTTATTCATATTAAAACCAAATTTTTCTTTCATTTTTTATATTCTTACATTTACTGTCACCAGCTGTGCTGTCTGTTTAGATTTAACCTTTATCCCCATTATGTGAGACTGGAAAGAGAATGGAAATGCATAAATATTTGATGAATAGTAAGAGGAAGATTGGAACAAGTTTATGAAGCTTTTATATGTAAATAGATATTTATACACTTAATCCTAAATAGGAATGAATTAAAGGTTTACTTACAAAAGTTTCTTTTATCAATCGTTTTTAAATCTAGAGCTTTTGTTTTAGTTTTATCTTAAAGGTATAGTGGAGGATTTTCACAAATCTTTGAAATGACCCACCCTCTCCATCAAAAAAAAAAAAAAAAATGCACATGGACAACCCTGTACCTCTTGCACGCTCTATTTAAAAGTTGCAGTCTGCAGTTTTCCACTATGTCAGGCTCACCACCGGTAAGTGAAATTGGGGACTAGCATGTAGGACGACCTCATGTGAACATATCACCAGAATGATTGGCAATTAGGAGAACCACTTATTTTAATGATCCACCTGGAAAAATAACACCCTCTACTATACCTTTAAATCAAGTCAGCTAAACGTAAAACTCTTATATAGAGCAAATATGGCAGGAACTGTAGGCTTATACAAAAGCACAACACTTCTCTTTCCAAGTAAATAAAAAAAAAAACTGCCCATCTTTTTACTTGTTTCCAGTCTTCCATCAGTTTAAAGAACTTTTTATCTCCTTCTTATTCACATATTTTATTTACAATCTTTTTTATCAGGTGTTTTATAAAGAGATTTTCTTTCATTATTTGAGGGTTTTCAGGTCAGTAATATCACTCAGGCTCTACTCAACTACTGTATTAACTATCTTCTATGCATCTTTTTAAATAGTAGTAATTATTACAATAGGTGGAAAGTAAAAAGTCTATATTTTAATAAAGGCAATATGTATATTCTTGTGCTTCATCTATTCAAAACACTCATATTGAAGCAGTACATTGTTATCATAAAAAACGTTAATTTTATTGAGAACTGTATAGAAATGTACAAATATCTAATATATATTTTTTCAGATTGCCTAAACTATTTCTGGTGTTGACATAAGAACGCTTAATGAAAACACACAATGCATTATCATGTAACTCCAAAGAAATTTTCTAAGACTTCTCAAAAATATTGTCAGATATGTATATTAAAGCTATTGGAAAACTATTTAAAGATCTATTTTTAGAAAAAGCTGTATGTATTATTATATTTGGCAAGTTTGTTAATAGTTTTGCATTTGACACATAAATGTTTTAAATAACTGATCGTGTCCAGTCTTTTTTGTTCCCTTCTTTTTTTTTTTTTGGAATGCAAACTAAAGTAATGTGTGATTAGTTTTTTTTATTTTTGTGGTAGTTTTTACATTTATTTATTTTTTCCCTCTCCAGATGAGAAAGGCTTTTTTGGTGCATATGTCATACAAGCTCAAACAATTTATATCTTTTCTTTTCCCCAAATAATGATGCATTACTGTAACCAGCACAACAAAGACAGAGCAAGGATGGCTGTGGTTGAAGGGTGGTCTGCTTGTTGGTTTCAGTACCATGGACAGCAGCATGAAGTGAAGCTACCCTTTCCTGCTTGAGATGATACAGGCTTTTGTTTTGTTTTTTCCCTCAGGATGGAAAGTTAATCTTTGAGCACAGCACACTCTGCTGGAACTACACATATTTGCAAATATTTAAAAAGTAGCAAAGTGCTATCCCCTGCAAATCTGAAATTTTCCCATCTCGTGTTACGAACACAAGCTTTGGTTTTGTTCTGAATGAATATTAATTAAATGTTATAATTAGTGTGGCATGCTATTTAAGCAGTCTTCTTTAACTTACACTAAAAACCCTACATAAAACTTAATGCAAGTATTGGCTTTCATATTTCACCTTGATTTTATTTTATTTTTTTTAACAAAGATTTGTGAAAGCCAAAGCTTCCTGTAGAGAGGTCAGGAATTAAAGTAAAGTTAAATCTATCAGCTAAAAATTGAAAGATTGTGCGTCCACTGAAAATCTAAAAAGAGACATCTAATGACTGAAACTAATAAGCTACTCTAGACTAGGATATAAGTAGTTAGAGAAGCAACAAAATGCCTAAGACTAGGGTTGAAACAATTAATCGGATTAATCGTGATTAATTGATTATTGAAATAACCATCAACTAGTTTAGTAATCAATTAATAATTCAATTCTATCCTACTAAGAAACCGGACAAAAAATTTACCGCAAATTGCAGTTGTAACTGTACAAACTTATGGTTTTAAAATCTATAAAATCTTTAAAATCTATTGGATTGTGAAAAATAGGGAGATTAGTTTTCATTGGTGTATCGACCCATGAGGTAATTGTTTGTGTTTTAAACCTGATGAAGAAACCATATCCTGAAATTTTTGTTTCTTTGACATTAAATTTGTGATTTTTAGGGACAATGAAAAAATAAAACAATAAGCCAGTGACACTGCAATGCACTTAGGATGCTGTATTTCACATCAAACTAAAAAGTGTACCACTGATAGCCACCATCTAAAGAATTAATTGGCAGTTGCAATGAAGAAAAGTGGCTGTAGCTACTTAAATTTCAAATTCCTGCAATCAAAGAAAGATAAATTATTTAAATTGGTGATTTTACGAACAAACAGTTTAATTTGATGGCAGCAGAGATACATCTATGAGTGTTCAGAAAAGTTAGCTTTGTAAGCTTTTATATGTCAAGGTATCTGGCAACCCGGTCACCAGATACTCCGACATATATTCCACACAGCTTACTTTTTTCCTTCACTGAATAATCCAGATATCAGTGGGAGAAATCAGTGATCCAATTAGTCAGATAACAAATTTGGAAAGTTGGCAATTATGGGTTTTGTCTCAGAGGTGCTGTCTACAAAGGCAAATTAAAAGAAAAAAGAAAACATGTGCTGAACCTTGCACTTCTAAATGATGCACTAGAGTAGTAGTGTTTAAAAAGTTCCCATTTCCATGATGGGTCCTTGACTGAAACTTTAATGGCTGACTTTTATGCTTTGCTGAATTCGGCTGGCTTTTACCCTAAAGAGGAACTTTTAAACCGCTACGACAGGATCTTGAGTTGGTCTGCCATATACAAAGAATTTTAAGGTTTATAGCTTTATAAATTGTGAAAAAGTTCAAGAAGGGTTGATATGTTTGTAAGGTATAACAGCACAAGGAATCAGTGAGTTTAAAACACGGTTAATTAAAAAAAGTAACAGAAAAGAATACATGTTCTAAGCATGGCCGCACTCAGGACAAAGGAAACTAAAAACAGTAAAGCAGATTCTAAGTCATCTTTATTACTACTGGTCATTAAGGAACAGGAAAAAAAAACTTTTTCTCATATCCCAGATATCACCATTAGAGGCTGAGCCATACAGCTGGAGACAGAACCAGACCCAGGTTAAACACTCCAATCCATACACAAAATTTTCAAACAAAATATGATTATCTACCCAAATATGTAAGTGACTTTTCTCTTATGCATTTTTTTTCATATACACCCTGGAAAAATAATGCACATCCACAGTGGCTAAAATACTGAAAAGTATATAGATATATATATAAAAAAAAGAATAATCTGTGCACCTGAGTCTGGTTGCATGAACTTTCCCTCTATGAGTCCTGCCTCCCCTGCAATTCACTTGGTTTTGGACCACGATACGTAGAAACATTTTGAGGCACGGCAGATGGAAAAGGACAAACTTATGAGAAAAAAATTGAAATAAAAACCCATGTAATGCCCATACCATCTCTCTCACCAAGAATAGTCATAAAAAAAACAACAAACAAATAAAAAATATAAAGAAGACATATCTTGTCGCAACTGCCTCAAAAGTGACTCAAGTATCACTGCCTTAAATTAAGGGTGTTCACACAACAACACATGGAAAGTCAGCATGCTCACAGTTACTCACATACAGATATGAATGTCTTCTTAGAATATGTATCTGTCATCACAGCTTGGAAAAAAATTACACTTATAAACAACAAATGCACTGTAACACCTGGAACCATAATACCAGCCAGTGGAAAAAGATTCAATATGTTTGCCTCGGTACTGTCGTTAAAAACCCTCCTATTGATACGATTGTTTCTTTAAGAGTAGGTGGTATTTTTAATAACATTTTCTTATAGATAAACATTTGTATTCCTCACACACTTTGTAACACACACACATGCCCACTGACACTCTCCCTTGCACCTTTTACACACTGATAATCTAAGGAGATTTGAAACTTTTATGTTAGAGTCTGAATGAATGACTAGATTAGTTCTATATGTATGCAACTACACTGAGAGCAGTGAGCTCCAGATAAGTACAAGATACTCCAGATCATCCTCAGTTGGCAATCATAACAACATAGTTACATTAGGCTATATGTAATCGTTGCTCAGCAGCATATAAAAATAAAAGAAGTTGCTCTGGTGCATAATCATAAACATCTGCATTGAAGTTTTGAAGTCTCTATGTAAAGAGAGGGAACTGTTTTCGGCACATTTCTACATGAGTTAGTCTGGCTCAGTTGTTATATATCAGATTATATTTAGAGTCTCATCTATTATACGACCAGCAACAGCTTCTCTGTGATGCTGGGTGGCGTTATAGCAAGCCTGAGCAACGCATATTTTGAATCACATGAAGACAAGACCATTCCACAAAAGTATTAAAAAATATGTTACAGAGGTCTTAACTTTAGGAAACCAGAATTGTTTATTTTGGATTCCTGTTGTCTTTCTGGATTTAACTGCTTCTGCATATATCACTTTTTGAAGTTTCAATACCAGGATCATACTATTTGTGCCATCACAGACTCTAAGCCAGTGGCTCCCAACCCTGATCCTCAGCCACCCCGGCCCTGCATGTTTTGGGTGTTTCCTTGTTGCATCACACCAGAAAATGTTGGACGATTAGCAGGCTTCTGTAGCACTTGATTGCAGAGGAAGAGCCCTAATCTGAATCAGGCTTGCCGGGACAGAGACATATCTAAAGAATGCAGAGCAGGGGTCCCTGAGGCCCAGGTTTGAGAGCCACTGCTCTAAGCTAACACAACAACCAAGGGTCCGTTTTCCACAAGTAAACAATAGAAGTAGGAATATAGGATTTGCATGACGTGTCCTGAAGGCAATGTGTGAGGAGGTTAATCACCAGACAGATTTACCCCAACGAGACAAACATCTTTCCTGATGAGGTTGGAGTTTTTTTTGTTTGCTTTTGTTGTTGTTTTTTTAGCATTGATGAAAACAAATTGAATTTTCTAAAATGGTACTTTTTTTTCCTTTTGTGAGCATTCTTATTAGTGACGTTTTTTGCCCTTTAGGTTAGCTAGATAATAGCACTTTTTCCCCATTTCTTTCTCTGTTAAACCATTTAAAGTGAATTTTCACTGTTAAAAAGAAAGTATGCCCTCTTTCCCTTCTACAGGTTATGTACCAGAATCTAATCCTAAAAATATTGGTCTTTTTCATGTTTTGAAATTGGAAATACTCTTTGAGCATCACTACCACCTTTACACAAAAATTAAAACTGAAATATCTAAGATGATTTTAGTTTTTGTTCTTTTTTTCTTTGAGAAACAAAATCCTCCTGCTCTTAATTATGATGCATTGATTTGTGATAGTATAAAAAAAAAAAGAAAAGTTAAATTGGAACATTTTTAAGTGTTTTTTAAACTTCTATACACCTTGACACATAAAGTTGGTGCATAAATGGGATTTGTTTCTCTATTTCCTTAGAGAAACAAATCCAGAAAAGAAACAAATATCTATTTCCTTAATCTTGAAAATTTAAAAGTAGCATCCTGACAGATCCTAAAAAAAACTCCATTGAAAGAGGATGTACTTACTTTTTATGAAAAAAATGTTTTTCTTAAGATTGTTCAACTACTCCATCATCCAAAAAACGTTAGTCTATTTTCAATCTGAATATAGAATAAATTAATAGAAGTGGTGTCCATCTGCAGCCACTGTATCAGTTACTATCAGTACTTTTTATCCTGAATGAGCCGCACTGCTCAAATACAGAGTAGCATGATGGCAAACAGACCCATGGTGTGGCTACATCTTTTCATGAGAAACAAAAATGAAACATAAAAGAAAAGATCCACTGTTGAGCAGACCTTAGAAACGCATGACTTCATCCAGGGCTGTCACAGCTCTGTTTATATGGCCAAAGTCCTTGTTAGGATACAGTGTTGAGGGGGCAGAGAGGGGAAGGACTTAAATAGGCAAGAGGAACAGAGTAACACCAAAAGAAATTGCCCTTCATTCAGAGCCTCTGTGTGAAGTTTTCAGGAAATACTCCTTTAGTGGCCTTTTCCTTGTTCTGCTGCCAATCGTCCTGCTTTAGTCCCATCAGCCAGCCTTCATCCTACAAAAATAAACACACACAAGACAAAACTGTTTTTGTATTCTGGTAAGTTAACACATATCAAGTATCAGTCAGAACCGTAGGTACACCCACCATGAACATTAGCCAAATATCATCGCTTTAAAACTATACCAGTATGGATCTAATTCATATTTTCTCCAGATAGATAGTTTATAATCAGGAGAAAAGGTTGTCTCTTAGAAGCAGGTTAGCTCTTTTAAGAGGTTTCAATAAGAGGCTTTCAAGTTAAAGTGGCAGCATTATGCTGTGGGATTCCTTTTTCTGCCAGGGTAAAGTTACATTTTGCAAAATGGATAAAAATCAGCCATTAAAATTTGGTTCCAAATGGGTCTCCATTTATCCCAAATCATAATTGACCACAACTAAATTGAGAATTTGCTAACAATTCCTTAAAGGTGGATATATTCCTGAAAACCTTCCATTTCGAAAGAACTACCATTTCTGACAAGAAATACCTAGTCAAAATTGTGAGAAAAGGTTGAGAATGGCCACAACGGCATGTGGTTAAAATGCAATATACAAATGAATCTAATTTTAGGGGGGGTGAAAATATTTCAGTCAGTATTTATAATATTTGAGACACTGAAAAATAGAAACAAAATCATGGCAAGTTCAAACTGATGAACACAGTTATTATATATAAAAAAAAAGCTTTGAAGATGTGCATTGGAGACTGATTAGTTTAGATTTATAACTAATACCCCAAAGTTATTTCTGACCATAATGAGGATATGTGAACCATGCCTGCAAATGTATAAATATTTTAGCGATATTGAGCTCATGTACCTGTTCATCAGGATTATCAAAGGTGACTACTAGCACCACATCACCAGCCTTCATCTCCAGTTCATCTGTGTCATTGGCAGCGTAGTCATGCATTACTTGAACCTTTTTAAAACAAAAGTTGATATCAATAAGCTTTTCAAAAGTATTTTTTGTTTATTGGGTGTTTGTTATTGTCTGAATTTTGTTTTTTTGCAGTACCTTAAACAAGAAACCAGGGGGCATTTCTACAGCCTCTGGTAAGTCTTCTGTTGATTCAGGTGCTTTAGCAGGAGTCTGCAGACAAGACACAAAAAGACAAAAGTATTGCTGACAAGGCATGTAAAAGGAGACAAAAAAAAAAAAAAATATATACATATATATATATATATATATATA